ACTCAAGCATCGCTTGATCGTTCGTTTTCGTGGAACCTTTTCTTCTTCTTCTTCCTCAGTAAGATTTGATCTCTCTTTTCCCGCAATCCGAGGTTTTCTTCTTTCGTTGTTTATTCTTGATTTCATCCCTTTAGTTCGATCTTGAGAAAGCTGCAGAATGGACATGGAATTGTGATATTTTGCTTTTTGTCTTAACTCTTAATTGCTGTTTCTGCTTCAAGTGATTCGTAATTTTACTGTTCATGTTTTAGATTAGATGGACATGGATGCTAATGAGATGGTCGACAAAGTCTCTGCTTCTCCTCTACCATTTGCAAGAAGGTTGTTGGGTTTATCTTCTTGCTTTGCTCTGAGAATTTTATAGTTTCTTACTAATGAGAGAGAATTTTATAATCTTGTATATATTTGTTGCTTTCTTACCCAGTTATCAAGTAGAGGCACTTGAGATAGCTATGAAACAGAACACAATTGTCTACTTGGAGACTGGTTCTGGCAAGACCTTGATTGCCATTATGCTTCTTCGTAATTACGCTTACCTTTTCCGCAAGCCTTCACCATGCTTCACCGTCTTCTTGGTTCCTCGAGTCGTTCTTGTCACTCAAGTATGATATGCGTTAACTCTTTTACTTTATACAACCTGACTGTCTCTGAGTTTGCAACTACAATACACACTTAGCTCTTTATTCCACAAGTTCTGTTATATATCTTGCAGCATTTCCAAATTTAGAAACACTAGTACTAGTAAAGATGTTCATACTTCGTCCTTGTGTGTGTTTACGCAGCAAGCAGAAGCCCTGAAGATGCATACTGATCTTAAAGTGGGCATGTATTGGGGAGCAATGGGGGTTGACTATTGGGATTCTTCAACATGGAAACAACAAGTCGATAAATATGAGGTCTCCTTTCCTTATTTGGACTGACACATACATTTTCAACCCATTTGGAGCTTTCAAGTGTTCACTCTGTTATTTTTTCCTTTGGTTTCACAACTGCAGGTTCTTGTGATGACACCTGACATATTGCTCCGCGCATTAAGTCATAGTTTTGTGACGTTGAACATGATCAAGGTTCTAATATTTGATGAGTGTCATCACGCTAGAGGAAAGCACGCGTATGCTCGTATCATGAGGGTGAGCATAAAAAGATACTCCTAATTGGAGAACTCAGAACTGATTGATGAAAGCTCATTGAAACAAGTGAACTATTTGATAGGGTCTTTTTCATGCAGGACTTCTATCACAAAGAGTTTAAGTCTGTAACTTCAGATGTTCCGCGGATATTTGGGATGACGGCATCCCCTGTGAAAACAAAGGGTATATATAGGCTTTAATGCATTTACACTTTAAATATTGGTTTTGGATTTGTTTTCTCACGTTTGGTTTGTATTCTCTGTCTTACTTCTCTTAACTAAGGTGAAAAGTTGGATAGCTATTGGGAAAAGATTCATGAACTCGAAACGCTAATGAATTCAAAGGTTGCTTTTATCTCTATCTTGGGTAATGATATAAAGGCAATTTTTGCTGTGACTGTTTTTATCTTGGACACTCGATTTATAGTAATAAATTTGCTTTATTTTAAGGTCTATACCTGTGAGAATGAGTCCGTGCTGGCTGAGTTTGTCCCCTTTTCTACACCGAGTTTCACGTACTACCACCACACAGAAATACCAGGCTCTATACGTACAAGCTTGGTCGGGGAGCTTGAAAAGCTAGCCACAAAGGTATATACACTAAGGCTTAAAGTTACCATGCAACTGGTGTCTATGTTACTGTTTGAGTATTAAAATCTTACTAAGAACATTTTAAATTTTCAGAGTATACTTCACATTTTATATCATTCTTGTTTATTTCAGCATCGCTTATCTCTAGCAACCTTGGGTCTCAAATCCTCTACTATTGATTCTATAGAGAAGAAACTGTCAAGTATAAGTTCATCTATAACTTATTGTTTGGATGAGTTTGGAATGTTGCTGGCCCTGAAGGTATTTTTGTTCTTGGTGCTGTTTTAAGGTTTTAGATTACAAAGGAAAATAAGAAGTACTGTAATATTTGTTTTCTTTTTCTCACAAAAGGCTGCTCAGTCATTCTCAGCCAGTCAGAACGACTTTGTCTCAGGGGGCCAACTAAATATGTTTAGCGAAACCTTCATAAAAAAATTCTGTTGTGATGCTTCACAGGCCATTTTAGCTTACATGCCTCATGGTACTTTTTTTCCTTTTTATGATTGAAAGATTTATTCATTGTTTTTCTTCTTTTCCTCACCTCTTTGGTTCTTCATTTGCGTGTATATAGGTCCTAAATGGAGTTGGAATGTTGCTAACATAGAAGCAAACGTGGAGAAAGGTCTCATAAAGTCAAAAATAGCCTGCCTTGTTGATTCTCTTCATGGTTATAGGTCTCGACTGCATGCACGTTTTATTTTCTGCTTACTATACTGGAGTTCAATATGATACTAATCTGAAATAGAATATTAGACAGTGAGCTGTTAGATTCTTCATTTGCACGAGAATCTGCAAATTATACAATTCTGTTCCTCTCAATTTTCATTGATACAGGTCTTTGGAGAACATACGGTGCATCGTTTTTGTGGAAAGGGTGATAACAGCAATTGTTCTGGAATCCCTTTTGGCTGAGATTCTTCCAAACTGGAAAACAAAGTACGTTGCAGGAAATAACTTTGGTCTGCAAAATCAGTCTCGGGAGAAGCAAAATAGAATTGTCGAGGACTTCCGAGAAGGCTTGGTATGGTCAATTGAGTGATCTGCTTATTGCTAATTTTTTAAAAATTCTGAGTAATCTGTTCTTGTTCGTAGGTAAACATCATTGTGGCAACATCTATTTTAGAGGAGGGTTTAGATGTTCAAAGTTGCAATCTGGTTGTTGGATTTGATCCAGCAACCAACATTTGCAGTTTCATACAGTCTCAAGGGCGTGCTAGAATGCTTAATTCAGATTATTTGATGATGGTGAAAAGGTATGTTACATATGTGGCTTCGTTCGGTTTGCTTAACAAAAATCTAATTTCTTTCTCACTCATTGTCACTTGCAGTGGAGATCTGTTAACGCGATCTCGGCTAACGGAATATCTTTCTGGTGGAAAAAGAATGCGTGAAGAGTCTTTGCATCATTCTCTTGATCCCTGTCCACCTCTTCCAGATGATTCATCGGAGGATTTCTTCCGTGTCAACGACACGGGGGCAACGGTAACTCTTAGCTCAAGCGTCGGTATACTATATTTCTACTGCTCAAGGCTTCCTTCAGATGAGTTAGTCTTCATACCTATTAGCTTCATCAGTTAGTTCTCTTTTATTAAATTTTCTCTTCTTTATAATTTGTTTTCGATTTTTTGTTGTTGTTGCTGGAAAAGGTATTTCAAACCAGCTCCTAGATTTGATGTAAACAAGGATCAGGGGATTTGCACTCTTTACCTTCCTAAGAGCTGCCCAATAAAAGAAGTTAGAGTTGAAGCAAATGGTAATGTGTTAAAACAAGTTGCATGTCTTGAAGCTTGCATTCAGCTGCACAAAGTTGGAGCTCTAAGTGATAATCTTGTGCCTGACATGGTTGTGGCGGAAAGTGTCGTACAAGAACTCGGTAATTTTCTGCATCTTCATTTTTAAAAAATTTGAGATGTATAATAAATTACTCATCGACGGGGTTTGAAATTGCAGCGAAAATCCTCTATAATCCAGAACAGCCATGTTACTTCCCGCCAGAGCTAGCCTCTCAGGTTTCAGCACAGTCGCAGACAACATACCATTTTTACTTGATAAGAATGAAGCCTAACTCGTCAAGAAACTTTCATTTAAACGATGTTTTACTGGGCACCAGAGTTGAGCTTGAATATGAAATTGGGAACACCGGCTTTCGGTTGGAAGATCATAAGGGAACAATTGCTGTGACACTGAGTTATGTGGGAGAATTTCACCTTACACAAGAGGAGGTATTTTGCTCATTTTTCTATCAGCTATATCTTATTAAAATTCATATAATCATTTTGTCACTTGGAACACCAAATTTGATAATTCTCCGGCTTTTCTTGTGGATTCTTATGTTTTCAGGTTCTTTTGTGTAGAAGGTTTCAGATAACTCTTTTCCGAGTTCTTTTGGATCACAGTGTAGAAAATTTGATGAAAGCATTGGATGGATTGCATCTCAGAGATGGTGTAGCACTTGATTATCTTCTAGTTCCATCAACTCATGAGCATGAAACATCTCTTATTAATTGGGAGGTGATTAGATCGGTGAATTTTAGTTGTCCTAAACCCGGGAAAAGCCACGTGAATTGTTCTGCCGAGGGTGCTTCTCGCATTCTACATACAAAAGTCGGCATGTTTTGTACTTGTGTTTTACAAAATGCATTGGTTTACACCCCCCATAATGGATACGTCTACTGCACCAAAGGTGTTCTGAGCAATCTAAATGCAAAGTCATTATTTACGACAACAAATTCCGGCGATCTGACTTACATGGAGCACTATGAGAAACAGTACATATAGTTTTACATAGAAAATTTATCACTTTTGATATATTTTCGCTTAATGCTAAAATTAGTGACTTTTGTGCAGGCATGGGACTCAATTAAAGTATGTGGATGAACCGCTTCTGAATGGGAGACGCATTTTCACGCTGCGTAATCACCTTCGCGTGACCACGAAGATAAATGAGAAAGGTTTTAAACTTAACCACAATCTGATTAGTTGCATCCTGAGTTCTTGTTGATATCCTTATTGCTTTTTATTTTATTTTTGCTGCAGAGCATGAGACAGAGTTTGTTGAACTACCTCCTGAGTTGTGTCATGTCATTTTGTCCCCAATATCAGTTAATATGATCTATTCATATACATTCATCCCATCCGTTATGCAACGCATTGAATCTTCGCTTATAGCATACAACTTGAAGAAGAGCATCCCAAAAATCAATATTCCAACCATCAAGGTAGAATTTGGGACTTTCAAACTGATATATAAATCATGCATGTGACTTTCATGTTGATTTTTCACCAAATATTTTTGATTCATCAGGTTCTGGAAGCCATTACGACGAAGAAATGCCAAGATCAGTTCCACTTGGAATCACTAGAAACTCTTGGTGACTCTTTTCTGAAATATGCTGTTTGTCAGCATCTATTCCAACAATTTCATACTCATCATGTGGGTCTTCTTAGCACAGAGAAAGATAAAATGGTTTCAAATGTCATGCTCTGCAAATTTGGATGTCAGCAGAAACTTCAGGTAAACACTCGTGTCGAGGTTCTATAAGAATGTTTAAATTGTAGCAGGTGGACTATCAAATGATTTCATGTAGTAACTAGTAAGAAG